TTCATTTCATTTTCATATTAATTGAACTTTGTCTCTTTCTCTCCAGTTCTGGTTCAGGTTTTTCCGACAGCAGACCTCAGTCTCCAGCCCGGACAGCAGGCTTCAACTCCAACACTCCCCCTCCACCTCCACCCCCTCTCCCCCCTCCGCCTCCCCCGTTACCCTCCTCAGGCCTGCGGGGCACCCCTCCTCCTCCCATACCCCCTCTACCAGTCCAGCAGCAACCTCCAGCCATCCCGCCTCCCCCCGCCCCTCTCCAGATCGCCCCGGGCGTGCTCCATCCAGCCCCTCCACCCGTGGCACCTCCCCTCCACTCCTCTTCCCCCGCTCGTCTCCAACAGGTCCTGGACAGGGGGCATCCTACGGGCTCGGGGACCCAGTCGGACGGCACCTCCCTGCCCCCTCCGCCGCCGCCTCCTCCTCTTCCTCTCCCAGGAGCACGGGGCTCCGAGCCCTGTCCGTCAGGCCCTCCACCTGTGCCCGCCTTCCCCTCAGCAGGAGCCATGGCCTCCCCTCTACCCCACACCATGCACGATATGGGGAGCAAGAGGCATCACCCAGCCAATCTGCCACCAATCAGCGACGCACGCAGTGTCCTGCTGGAGGCTATCAGAAAAGGTGGGTTGAGCTTTACCAGAATACCAGAAATAAATGAAAAATGTCAATATTATACCACTATTACCTTCCTATTACCAATTCTGATATGTTTTTGCAAAACTGTGATTGCTCCAATTTCTTGAAGCTATGCAAAATCTTTTATATTTTCTATTATATAAAATAAATATACAAGCGTTAATGATGCTGCTCCAACATAATAAGCAATTAAAAGACATCACATGACATCATCATTAACTCCTTTCTCTGCCTCCAGGCATACAGCTGCGGAAAGTGGAGGAGCAGCGAGAGCAGGAGGCTAAGCATGAGCGCGTGGGCAACGACGTGGCCACCATCCTGTCACGCCGCATCGCTGTGGAGTACTCTGACTCTGAGGATGAGTCCGAGTTTGACGAGGGAGACTGGATGGAGTGATGGCTGTAACAGACAGATAAGGATTTCAAAGAAAACGGTGTTGGAGACGAGAGGACAAACTCGTTCAGGTGCCCAGCCCCCTCGAACCTTCACTCCTCCACACCTCGCCATCAAAGACTCCTCTGTTCTCTGGAAAGGAGGCGACACGATGTCTTTGCCCGACTTCACCCCCCCCCCCCCCCCTCCCTCTGTCGAGCTTCTTTTTTTTTTATCTCTGTCTCGTTGTGGTTCGTGATGGGAGGAGAATCTCCACGTCGCCCCCTCGTCCGTCTCCCTAGTTGTTCAATGCAAAGTTTTCGCCCCGTTCTTTTCTGCACTCACACATGACTTTTTAGTTTTTTCGCTGGATTTCTTGTGAAGTCCTCCATGTTTACTGTTGTTATACATGAAGATAACTTTTTTGAAGAACCACTTGTTTTTGTTTCTTATCTGTGAGTCTAATGTGTAAAAAAAAAAAAAAAAACACAAAAGGAAAGGAAAACAATGAAGGCATGTTGCATTTATCCCTATTTTTGCAGCGCTGTTTCGCCATCTGGTGGCTGAACCTTGGCATTGAATGAACCCTGTTTTTATTTAGTCTTTTTTTATTTACCTTTTTTTCTGCAGAGATATTTGGGGGTTTAACAGGCCAGTAGTTTCTGATACTGACCACCACATGACCACACTCACTCCAGCTGGGTTGTCTTTTAGTTTCCTCTCTTAGCAGGACTTATTTTACCACTTAGAACAAGCAAAAGATTGTGACGGATTGCTGAATGGTTGAAAATGACGACGGGGAAGAATATGGCTGCTTAAGCCATGCGTACATATCCATCCACTTACGTCTAAATTAACCCCAGGGAAGTGTATTCTGAGAGATTGGGCTTTTCAGTCTGTGTAGGTTCTCAGGAGCCATAGTTTTTTTTTTTAGAACACTGAGTTATTATAATTTCTAATTTTTGGGCCACAGATACGGACTCTGGAAGTGATTTAATTCTGAAGCTGTACATCAGATTTCCTGCCTCTCTTTTTGTCCCTGATGAATATTCAGTGTGTGGAAGAAGAAAAAAAAAAAAGTTGAAAATTGAAAAGGTACCTGTGATAATGAGAGTCTGAGAAACACCAGGTACGAACCACTTACCACCACTGAAGGCAGCTCTTCCTTCTGATGTGTTTTTACTTTGTACCCGCAGCTAACGAGAAGCCTTAACTCGTTCGGTCTCCAGCAGCAGCTTTGATTCAAGAGAAACCATTCTGTGTGTTGCTGCCTTCCAAAGAGAAGGATACATTATGCCTTGTTTTTGGCTCATTTCTAAGAAAATGTCTGCCATCCTTTTCTGTTTGTTCTTTCTTCTACTTGCCTTATTGTTCCTACAAAAACGTATTGTTGAGTTGATGAATGTATTGTGCTGTTACTACTTACTTGCCTGCGCTTGTATGGATTTGCTGTTTCTATGTTTGGGGGGGGGGGCTGGTTTAAAAAAAAAAAAAAAGATTAAATGAAAACTGTAAACCATGTAACTTATGTAACTGTTGACGTAACAGTTTGCTTGAATTAATAAAAATCTAACGTTATGTTTCAGCCCTACATGTTACACGTGTGTTGTTCGTCCTGTTGCCTCAGCTGAGTAACATGTCTCTGATATGTTTGTGTTCATACTGTGCGTGGTTAACTAACAGGTCACAAAGATCTGACAAAGAAAATGAAAACTTCACAAATGTTTATTAAAAACTTAAAGAAGAGGATAAGACATGAGAAATAAATAATGAGGGGAAGATTATTTTGCATTATGCACTTTGAGAAAAAGTTTAAATCTTAAAAAAAAGACTTGATGTCAAAAAAAAAAGTTGAAAGTTGATGGGGAAAGAAGTCGAAAAAAGACTAAATGTCAAGAAAAAGTTCAACTACAGTTTTGAGAATAAAGCTGAAATGAAAGTCGGAATGTCGAGAAAAAAATCGAAATGTAGAAAAACGTTGAAATACAATTTTGAGAATAAAGTCCAAATGTCAGCTCTACTCTCGAAGTGCAAAATTATAAAATCTTCCCTCTCTCATTACTTTTGTCTCATGCCGGGTCTTCAATCTCTTCTGTATGACTTTAAGACAGCAGATATGAAATCATTTTTTGAACATGCTACATACACATACGGTGTGTCAGTAATACACACATGCACCAACAGCATCCTCATGCACTAATGAAGAGAGAAGTCAGAGTGAGGGGCTGCACATGAAAGACAGAAGTGAACTGCTGACTTAACAGCAACCAGTCACAGATACAATACTATGATCCAGACTGGGACTTTAACTGGGGACCCTCCGCTTCTCAACCGGAGTCTACTCCTGAAATATGTTTAAATATGAATTTTTACTGTTTCTTTTATTATGTACTCTATTATGTAGAGAGCTTTGATGTTAATTAAAGTTGAAACCAAATGATTTGAATGGTTGGAAAAGGCTATATCTGTATCATCTAAAGACATAGTCAGAATAAGTTCACACTGTACACGTCCATCTTCTAATTCTTTGGCCACGATCAACCAAACTGAACAGCTCCAGTCAAGTGTAAGCGCACAAACCTCAGCTCACATTTGATTTTTCAGATGTTATTAAAGAACTCCTGTTACATGAAAAATTCACAGTTTCATGTGCAGACACTCTCACCGCCTTCTTTCTCTCTTGTCTAATTCTCACTTCTACTCATCACCTTTTCTTCTGTCCTCACACTCCCACCTCTCTTACTTCCTCCTGTCGTCTCTCTTAACAGAGGAAATGCTCAGGAGTCTTCATGTTTTATTATCTTGTCACTCTCGTCATAATCATATTTCTCGTCCTGTCACACTTCATCCTCTAAGCCCGCACTGCTTTGGGAATTTCAGCTTTCATGTCAGGGTTGCACATGGCACGTGCATGTCAGACACATCGGGGCTGCGTTGATTATAATGCCAACGTTGTTTAGCACACTGGTAGGAGTCGGCGCGTTAGAAATGCGGTGTGTGCCCATGAAAAAAAGATTTAATTACCAGATACACTGTGTTATAATAGTCATGCTTGGAAGATGTCCAACTGGTGTGCCTAAGGGAATTCTGCCTGATGTGTTTTCATTCAACATAAAACTGAAGTCAACAGATGTGAAAACAATCAGCTGGTGCATTCTTTTAGTAGATGGCTGTCGGACAATCAGTTGGTCGGTCGGTCAGTCAATTTTCGCCTGCTGCTCCAAATAATTTACTCCAAAAAACAGCTAGAAATAAGAACATGCTGTCCTAACACTTTAACGTTTGTGTGTGTTCCACTTTGTTGTAATCAGCACAGCAGCTGAATTCGAACAATTCCCCCCAAAGTCACAGAAGTTGAAAAAATGAACCGAAAAAAAAAAGAACTGAATGTGAAGAGTTTATTTTTAGAGAGACAATGTACAGACAAAAGTCATGTTGACACTTTGTTCTACAAAAATGTGTATAAATACGGATTTAAAGAGCCCATATTCTGCCCTTTTTGGGGTTCATATATTTAATCTATGTACCTACTTTTGTACGTTCACAATAGCTAAAGTCTGAAAAAAGTGTCTGTTTTCATGTACTGCTCCTCCTTGCTCCCTCTACGCTCTGAGTCCGTCAGCTGCACTCTGTTGAGCCCACACTGTTAGACCCCACGTGGGCCAAGTCTGCTCTGATTGGTCTGCTGAGCCGCTCTGTCGTTATTGGTCAGTTGCTCAGCACGCTTCTCGGAAATTTCAACATGAGCTGCAGGGCTTGCCACAACGAGCCAATGGCTTAGATCAGTGATCTCACACTGACAATGACGGCGCACTGACAAATTTTTTTCGAGGGGGGCTAGAACCGAGTGTTACATGCTGCTAATGCTACAGCTAACAGGAGGAAGTAGGAGAAGCCGCGTTTCCGCGGACTTTGAATTTTTGCACATAGATGTGCCTAAACATGCACAGGACACTTGGAAAACACACTAAAGGGCATATAAAACCAGAAAAAGCATAATATGGGACCTTTAAAGAAGCTGCGTCCAAAGCACTTAAAAAGGAGAAGGCATGGTGTAAGCAGCGGGTACTGACAAGTATTTACAGCAGAATAACTGGAAAAATATTTGAGCAGGAAAAGTCTTTCCACACACTGCTGACATAACCTAACGCTGACAATGAGAGTAAATTAGAAACATGATCAAAAACACACTAAGTACTGTGAGTTAGTTGTACATGAAGCTCTGATTGGACAATCTGTAACTTCACTCTAATGTATGACTACATGTTCACTACACAGTGTGTTCAGAACTACTTGGTTATTAACACAGGTTTGTGTTCTACCTTTAATCAGCATACACTTCTGCACGGCCCAAAAAACGATTTATACAAACCAAAATATTTTTGAAACAAATAGAACATTGTTTGAAAAACTGTTATCCAGTGTACTTATTATCACAATGAGAGCTAGGACATCAAACTCAGAACATAAAACACTAAGAGACAGGACATCGAGGCGCTCTTGAATAGTTACTTCAAAATGTAACGCACAGCATCTCGTATCCCACTGTTTAAAAGACTTCTCTATCAACCACTGTAAGATATTGATTTGTTTTTTAAGGCTGTTAACTTTAAGTCGTCAAGTCTTTTTTAAAGGGCTCACTAACGCTATCATTCATAAATACATGAGTGTCCTCATATTGTGGGTCACATGGCTAATAAATGATGCACCCGTTGAAAAAAGGATGAAATCTCTTCCCTGTTTCTTCACTTAACTTTGAGGGTGTTATTCTTTCTTCGGGGCGGCTCTTTCTGGACCTGGCGGGCCCGTGTGCCTAAACCCAGAGACTGCAGAGACTCAGTGATGAAGTGCTGCGTCGGGGAGACGCACAGCATCAGCAGCAGCTTTGCGTCGCCCCCTGGTGGAGACAATGACAAAGAAAACGATGGGATTCAAGACTGTGAAGTTCAAAAGAAATGACAAAGTAGATTTAATTTCATGAATCTATTATTTTCTTGTCCTTTTAATCTTCACTTTGTACAGAATGTATGATGTTTTAGCTTGATAAAAGCAAATGAGTCTATCCCATTGGAAGCACCAGTCACATGAAACAAAAGAGACCGTGAATGTGTTAAGTTGTGTGTGTGTGTGTGTGTGTCTCACCTATGGCATCCTGTAGTAAATGAGTGAGTTTGCTGTTCCTGTATGGGACGTGTGGTCTGTGCTCTGCCAGAGCTCCCAGGACATCAGCCAGTGCAGAGAGACTGCGGTTTATACAGGACACCTCCCACAGAGCTGCACCTGATACTCCAGACATGCCTGGTACACAAACAAGTGTTATTTTTTTAATTTTTTTAATGCTCCAAAGCTCAATGATCTGCTCAGTGAGCACTCGTTGGTTGTACTGGGGTAATGTGTCATACTAAATGGATCTATTTGACACAGAGGTAAATATTGCCCATCGTTACCGACACACTCGCTCCCCGCCAGGTCCACCAGCTGCAGCTTGGTCTTGAACGGAGCCTGTGACATGCTGGGCCTCGGGGAGGGGCATGGAGAGAGGGAAGGGGAGGGGCAGGGAGAGGAGGAGGAGCTTGCAAAGAGCTCATCGGATGAGTGCTGGGCAGAGGGGTTAGCACGGTGGCAGCGTGGACTCCACCACTCCTTCTGGGTGGACTGCTGCATGTCCCTCTTCGCTCTCTGTAACCTGCGGGCTGAATGAGAGAGTCCCAGTTAGATGCAGGGAGGTTTGAATAACAGGTGCCATGTATTCTGACTTTGTGTGTGCGTGTGAGTGAGTGAATTCATCTCACCGAGGGCCAGTGCGTTGGGGCTTTTGGAGGAAACGGTGAGGTTGACGACGAGGTGTGAGCGCGAGGAGTCGGGGTGTATGAGGGTGGGGCAGTGAGCTCTGAACTTCAAAACACTGCTGATAATCTGCATCACCTCAGAGGCGTTACACACAGGCCTGTAACACATGTGAAACACACATTTCACGCATTTCATAGAGATGAGAAGTCATTCATGTTTTTAGCAGTATAGATCCATCGATGACATTTTGTGACAAAACACAACAACTTCTATCCAAACTTTGCGATTCCTCTCAGCTATATGGGCTGTAGGTTCTTTTAAATCACATTTTTGGTAAACTTACTGTTTGGTTCACTCGCTCTGCTCTTATTCAATGAATGTGACTCTCTAAAAGCACATTCATCTGCGTATCACTAAACAACAAACAGGCACAGTAAGTGACAGGCTGCTGAACTAAGGGGCGCATATAACAGTTTTAAAGCCAGACAGGTGACCTGCAACACAACACCACTTTCTTCCTTTAACTGTCTCCTTATGCAGTTTGGTGCAGGGCGCTGGTTTGTTTTTACAGGTCAAAGTGGCTATGCTTCAAACTGATATAAAACATTATACGGGTCCTCATACATCTAAGGATGCTACAGATAATTCTGTGTGGGTCCATCACTGAAAGCATCTCCTTTCCAATTCAAAAAAATCATTTGGAAAAACATGAATGGGTTTTGCAATAAAACGACAGCTTCTCTAAAAGAGAAATCACTTATTTCTCTGTGCTAGATCTTTCATCACAGAGCACAAACACCTCCTGCACACTATCAGCCCAGCTCTGCTGTACTCACTGGTGCGTGAGGGAGGTGACCTGGATGGTGCCGGAGGAGGTGGTGATGACGTCCCGGCGCTGGCCAGCGGCACTGCTGAGCTCGTCTCTGGCCAGGAGGTCAAACACCTCATTGTTGTACACCTCCATCACGGACAACTCCACCGTGTGGCTCTCTGCGGGCTTCTCAGAGATCAGCCTGGCTCACACACACACACACACACACACACACACACACACACACACACACACACACACACACACACACACACAGGAGATGATATATAAAATAAAGAAAAAGTCAAAGCTCAGACCAATTATACTTTATTTTAACTCTCTGAGCACATTATGAATGTATGGATTTTTTTCCCATTTCTGACGGACTAAAGAACTGAATTAAGACATACACAATTTAACTTGGTTTGCTATAATCTGAAGAATGGCATAAAACACATCACTTGACGAATTCAGTCGTTACAGTTGAGGGAAAATTTCACAAAAACAATATTTGTTTCCGCCTCACCTAAAGAGCTCTGCAGCCGCCTTGGGGATGATCCCCTGCTGTGTGTCCTTCTGCGTCCCTGAGTTCTCCTCCAGCGGCCGGGATCCCATCATGGTGTGGGTCTTCCCGCTGCCCGTCTGCCCGTACGCCATGATGCACACATTGTAGCTGCAGTGCAGGTAGAGAGAGGACATTCAACTCATGCTGAAGCCACGGAGTCACAGTATGCTGTCTTCATGTATTTCATTATCATTCAGGGTAATGAACGTGAATCAATAATATTTGACTTATTACTTTAGAGTCATGCTTTTGGCGTTAAACACTCACCCGTCCAGCAGTGATGTCATTAGAGGTCTGACCTCCTGAAAGACGGCATCCTGGGAATCCTCTGGTCCATGAACTCTGGAAAATCACAAAAGACACCACAAGTCATTTCCCTCACTTATAAATAGGAAGGAAACAAAGGGATGTTTATTTTTGCATCATGAAAGGATTTGATTTTACCTCTCAAATTCAAAGATCTTGTTGTGTACTGGCATCCCTGTTTTTATGCAGTTCACCATCACTGTGTCCTAATACACAAAAAGAGCAGAAGTAAGACAATCATGCACGAACACTGAAGCAGTTTGCAGCCATAAAGTCTGTTTTAAGAGTCTTGCAAACTCACATCACTCATCGCAGAGACCACTTCTTCTGGTGGCCTGACGATAAAAGCAGAACATTTAGAGTCATTCAGTATTTTATGTTGTCGGGGTTCAATGTTGTGTTGACTCACCCTGACGCAGAGGTGGAGGACTCAACGTGGTCAAAGGGAAGAACCGGTCGCACCCTGCAGTGAACCCGGATGTTTCCTCTCAACTCCTGCAGCACATCAAAGAATGAAGCTTCAAATCAGATCAGATGAAATGTGTTTGCACTGTGTTGACGTGAAATATCTGTCCTCACCACCAGTGTGTTGTGTAGGTCTTTCCTCCGCTGCCTCTCTGCCCTGCACTTCTCCCTCTCCTCCTCCAGAGAGCGCTCCAGGGCTGCAACATGAGCTTGCAAGTCTGGGCAGAGATATGGAAAGAGAGTGATAGGAACATTTTAAGATCAACTCTTTCCTACTGTGGTTTAGTCCGGCATGTAAGGAGATCGTTTTCTTTCCGTTTGCTTCTACATTGCCCTGATTATTGTTTCCACTGGGTCATGTCTTGCGGCAAATGGCGTGGTGCAGTTCAAAAGCTGTAGCTCGACCCATCTTTAGACTGTGAAATAAATAAATACTGTCTCTGGAGCAATCGTAACCAAACATCCACTCGCTGGTGTTGTGCAAGAATTGGCTGGGTTGAACATAAATAGAACAAACGAGTGAAAAATTAGAAGGATTTTACTCTGTCTTCAGTATGAACTCAAAATATTCCAAAAGATCCTAAAAAAAAAAAAACATTTGAAAAAAAATGTTTTATTGTAAAATATTTCTGTCTGGTGTATATCTTTGTAAACTTGTTATTTACTGTATTTATTTATGTGCCAAACAAACTTAGCTTAATTAATTACATAGGCATATGATTTTAAAATCTCAAACCATTTTATCAAAACTATGAAAACAGCTCCTGGGTTTGACACCATTATTCTCACCACAAGATACTCCTGACTTGATTATATACAGTAGAAAAACAAATCCATAACATCTTTAACAGCCATATTAAACTCACATTAAAACCCAAAAGGGATAAGTACTTTTGTAGATTTTGTATTATTCTCAATTAACATCAAGCTTTGTGTACAGAACGTGTTTTGGCTTCTTTAGGCTTAAAACTTTCAGCAATCGTCAGAGCTATACTGACAGGCTGACTCGGGAGACTACGGAGAAAAAGGACATTAAACCTGGAACAACTCTGAGGGCGGGGGTGAGAGAGGGGAGGGAAAGAGTATGAGAGGATTACAGGCAAACACACCTAATCAAGGTTCAGTCAGCACGTCACATGTAAACCACTTTGGCAAGCGGAAACTGAAAGGGAGAATGAGAGAGCCGAGCCGTGGGCGAACAGAAAAGAAAAGCCAAAAGACTTGAGAGGTGAAGAAATATGATATCAAAAGGGAGGTGTCCGAGTCTTAACCCTTATCTAAGTGATGCCTGTCTCTCTGACACTTACTCTGACCATTGTCTCCACGGTGACCGTTTAGAGGACAGCTGGCCTGGCCAACCTTTTCCAGCAGCTGCTTGCTCTTCTCCTCCAGCTCAGTGGCAAAACTCAAATACACTGCAAAAATTTCGCTCAATTCCTGCTTCACTGCCTGCAATAACACACATGTAAGAGACACATTAATCATGTAGCTGCGTATTTGTCTTCATGAGTGGTTTGTGCTACTTATAGATGACGCACTCGTACCTGGACACCAGAGAGGAGTTTTGCTAGGGCTGACCGGGTTATCTTCTGTGCATTCCTCTGGTGCTGAAGTTGGGTCAGGGCCTTGCTCTCTTCTTCAGATTCTCGACGGAGTTTCCCCAGACACTGAAAAAGTGAGACCATCAACATCGTTATTGTGAACTATACTGTTCTTCTTTCTGCTACGCCACAGGACGCCGTAGAAATTGAATTACGGCCCCTTGCCCCACGAATGTGATGCTAAATTAGAAATCTGATTTTTTTTTTTTTTAATACAATGGACAAATCATTTTGGGCTTGTTTGTTTTTCAAACTGATCAGGTCAGAACATAGAGGTAAACTCAAGCACAGACAGTGTTTCGAGGTAGCTGCCCAGCATCACAGCCTGTCACTCTGTTAATACGTTTTATTAAATGCACCTGTGCTGTTTCTCCACAACTGATAATATTGCGTAAAAGCAAGTCATAAATCTATCAAATGTACAGGAATTTCAGGCCACAAAGGAAATGTGGAAGTAAAGGATGTTGGTTTCATAGATTTAAAAAAAAAATGTGCATCCATTTGAGTGACAGCTGTTTAATGCAAGCTGTGCTGAGGTGACAAATGATTTGAATGACAGGTGAAGGGAAAAAACACATTTTAGTTGATCTCTTATGTTCCAGCAAAACTGTGGATCCAGATGAAGCTATATAGGCGTCTTATCAAAAATGTGTGGGACACATGAATACACATTCAAGTGACATAAAATCACACATAGGCCTACTACCTCACACAGGTAGCCTATGTAGCACAAGAAGGACAAAAAGTCATTCAGAAATCAGATATTTACACAAGTAACGACTGGAGAAATAAATAAATATAACAGAGAGCAAGACAAATCTGGATTAAAACAGATTAATACAAGAAGAGGGGGGTTCATGCCAGTCAGGTAGGTTAGCCTGAAGAATGGCACAAATGTCCTTACCTCAGCAAGTCTTAAATGGAGAATAGCATTCTCTGTCTCCAGTTCCAGTATTCGCTCCTCTTTACTCTGAAACAAAATTAGATTATGTTCCAAAGGGACAAAACAAGAAGTATTGGTAAATGATATGTGAATGTAAAGATTAGTGGGAAAACAATATAAAAACAAATATGTCAAAGTGACTTCTAACTCACCCTCAGTTTGTGCTCCAGCAGGTGTACCTGATGAGCAAACATCTGGTCTCTGTTTATAAAGAGAGGCATTTTTTCTTTTTTTCCCCGAACAGAAATGACTCTAGCAGCTAAAGAAGATAGAACAGCCTCGTCCTTTACAACACAGCTGATCAAGACTGTGTCCTCCAGAGTCAAATAATCCGATTAACAGCAGGTCAACAACAACCCTTTCCCCTCTGCTCACCTGTGAGCCTCTGAACACAGCCCGTTTTCATACAACCTTGCTTTTTTTTTTTGTGGCGATAACCCTGCTTCATTTGATGACATTATTATTGAGGTTTTTAATGTAATTTATCACCGTCTTTTAATTTGACTCTTACACGACCCCAGCGCACAGGTGTGGGTAATTCATTTTGACACAGACAGGGGGCAGCAAAGCCTCTGCAGGAGTGACGTTGTCCGAGGAAGAAATTCAACCTTATGAAGAAGAAGAAAATACTTCCGCATAAGTCAGAGTTTATCCTTCTCGGTAAGGTGTCGGATAGTTGTCCTGAAATGCCTAAATTAAAAGACAAAAGACGAGAGAAAACCAGCGTCGCCACTGAGGTAAGACGCTTGGACTCCCCCCCCCAGCCAGCCACACAGCATGTCAGGATGATAACTCGTTAGCATGCGTCAGCTACTGCATCTAAATGTCCTGCATGGTGAGTCTGGGTTGTTGTTTTCCATCCTTGCTTAGTTTGCTCCTTTTTTAAATCTGATTTCATAGATTGACCGCTTAGAGGAGCGGAAGGCGCGTTGCCAAGACAACCTGGAGAGGGCAGAGTTCAAAAGCAGGAAAGAGAAGCTCTCTGAGAAGGAAAGGTGAGGATGAAGATTGTATACAGACTTCTTAAGCACCTCTTCTTGTCTCTGTATTTGGCTGCTTGGTCAGGAAGCTAAAACTCCTCTAATTGTGTGTTTTTTTTTTGTTCTTCTTCTTTCTATCTCTCATGCTCATTACTCCACAGGGAGGAACTGGAAGATGAAATGGCCATTATGAATGAGAGGGTGCAAAAATTAGGTACGTTAAATTAAACCAGCTGCTTATCAATACTTAATAAATCACTGCAAGTATATGCACAACATTTGCAATTTACAACAGGGGTGGGCAACTGGCGGCCCGGGGGCCACATGCACACCCCCCCCCCCCCATCAACCCTAAATGTGGCCCTCAGGTCAATTTTTACATATCAATGAATTGAAAATGTGACAAAATCTGCCATGAAATCATGAAAACCAGAAATACGTCCATAATAATATTTGATCACTGGCATATGTTGAGTTAAATTTGAGACATAATTGATTTTTTTTAAATATATATATATAATTGATTCATAATTGATCGTTTTTGTATACTACAATTTGGCCCTTTGGCAGGGAGAATTAATTGAATGTGGCCCTTGCTGTGACCAAAGTTGCCCGTCCCTGATTTACAATAAAGACATCATTGTAGTTGTCTAAGTGATAAATCAAAACCTTTCTTTGGCATGCCAACTTAGTTTGTGTTAGGCATTGTGCAAATGCATAAAGCACCATGTCCAGCTCAGGTTAAAACAGGGTGCACACAGTTAATGTAGCTTTTTTTTTTTTTTTTAAAGCTGTTTATCTGCCTACATTATTTACTGCTTATTTAGATGTGTTATGTTATTCCTATTTCTATTATATATTTCTCTCCCTAATGCTATTTTTAGAGCGACTGTCCCCCCTTCCGATTAATAAAGTGTTTCTTATTCTGAAAGTTTTTATTCGGTCAACCATGTAAATATGTATAATATGTAATGTCACCTTAAATTGACCTCGTCCTTATGATATAGAACACCAGAGGAGCCATCGCTGGTTTCCGCCCCTTAATGAGAATTCTAATGTAATGAGAATCAATATGTGCGTTTGTTCTCTACCTCTAGACAAGGAGCTGGAGACATTACGGGGAGAGAATCGGAAGAACATGCTGCTTTCAGTCGCTCTGTTGGTTATCAGCGCAGTGTTCTATTATGCCTTTTTTTACAATGAAGAAGATTCATAAAATAAGCCAATATCTGAAAGGGACCTAGAAGAGCAACGTCAGGACAATGTTGTTGTGAGGAAATATGTGAGGCCAAAGGGCTGTGCATGCACAGTGATTAAATCCATGATTGTACTGCCTCTAGGGGGCAGCATTGTCATTTTCCTAACTCACTCTGTTCATCATGCTGGGTTGATCCTGCACAGTCAGAACCCCATCTGAACTCCCTGAACTGCAAATGTTGTGTTTTAAGCATGTTTAAACCTTACTTTTCAGCTTTAACTCTCTAAGTCAAATGTTTTTTTTCCTCTACTACTTGCCAATTCAAGCAGGATACTGTGGGAACACTTTGTGCCAACACATGTTTATGTAAGCATGTTTAAGTTTGTTTTAACAGCCCTGAATTTTAATACTCTTTCATGAAACTAAACTATAAAGGGCCTGTTTACTGTCACAGTCTATCTTTTTATTTCTGTATGAAGATCTATATTATGACAGTGAACAAGAAGCGATTAGAGAGTTTTCTAACTTAATAACCAATAAAAAATACCAGTAGCTTTAAGCGTCTGCCACAAACAAACCCATTTAATATGTGTGTTTTATACCTTATATTACAAAAGGTGCTCTGAAATGTTGCCAATCAAGTCAGCTTTAGCCTTTCCAGTGATATATGAATAAAAGCATGTTTCATACAGTGAACCACAGTGTGCAGTTACATACAGATACAGCGGTTATAGAAACATTTGTGAAAATGTGAACTTGAAGAATGTATTTTTTTTGTTTTTGATACTGATGCTGGTCATGTATCCATCTGCTAATAAAAGCTCCAAGATGCCAAACATTCATTGAAAATGTGCATACAATAAATAAAGGAATGACAGTGGGGTTTTTATCTTTAATCTGTCTGATGTTATCGTATGTTTTCTTTTTTTGATGCGTATTCACAATTTATTTGGGATGATATTTGGGTGCAGTAGCGTAGAAATATTTGTATTGAAAAATCATCATTACTTGTAGCTTAAACAGAGGCCCAGATTTGATGTCATATTTAAATTAATTTTGATTTTCCATACGAACTTGTGAAGGGATGACACTACTCAGTGGTTCTGGTCAGGAGGATTGTTATGTGACACTATCACTGGGTGATTATTATATAATAATAATAACAGGAGTTCTTTTTCACCCAGTGACACAGTTCCAGTGTGAAATGTGTGACACTGTGGTATTAAGTTCAAGGGGAAAAGCAGTAGTCCTATGGCCTTGTAACCATTCTGAATGGGTACAAAATAATCTTGATATTTATTTTGATAACTTTGTCAGTAATGACTCTCTTTAAGAGAGTCATTATTTTTCTCTAGTTTTCTCTTGTTTAGCCATGTTCCTATTCAGGTCAGATTTAGAATGAGAAAAAATAATGTTGCCTTCACCTAGTTTTGCCTAGTCTAACTGTGCCATGTAATTACAGAAATATAAAGAATGAATGATGTACCATTATCAAGTATTAGGGCCTGAATACACTTTCCTGACTACATGGTCCAGGTTCCAGGTGAATGCTACTAGAATTCAATAGCTGTCTTTATGTAAAATATTGCTGTTATTCCACACCCGTTTCTTTTAATATTGAGGTAGAACACATTTTCTACTTTTCTGTTATCCATTTTCTTAAACATTTGGTGATATTCAGAGTAAGGCTGTCTAAAGATTTTTGTGCCTTTAATGGAGAGATAAGACAGAAGATAGAGTCGGAAATCAGGGAGATAGAGAGAAGGGAATGACATGCGGGAAAGGAGCCACAGGTGGGATTCGAACCTGGTGGTGTTGTATGGTACCTCACATATTACCATGGTACATAACACAGTAGCTGGTATGTACAATGGTATACCTTGGTAAACTTTATCATGGGTGACTACAGCTTGAGTAGCTTTCAACCACTTCCTAGCTAAAATGACTGTTGGATATGATGCATAAGTTAGTAAAGTCCTACATTTCTAGAAAACAATAATGTTAACTAGCTGAAAGGAATATTTACGAGGCATCCGTGGGCAGCTCAGCTGTAGTGACTTAGCTGTCATATAATGAGCTATCGGATATGTGATTTTAACAATCCACTGTCTTGTAAGTTGCTTATCAAGCAAGGTTTTGTTCGCAGTCTGGGAAAACTGCTGCACAGCATTGAAACAGAATTTGAGTTTCCCAAAATGGAAACAGTCTTAGAACATAACTTCTTTCAAACAGTTAAAATAAAAATGTCACTGAAAAAAAATCCACTCGGTAGCTGCTATTTTAGCAAAAGTGAATGAGATAAAATAGTGGATTTTATTGAGAATATTTTGGTCCGTGTTTATACAAATGTGTCTTTCCAACTAGGTTCTAGGTTCACTGACTCAAATAGTCTTTGTCCCTTATGATAAAGTCCCATTTCATTCAATTCGTCATAATGATTCACTGCTTTTCTAAGTATGTTTTTATTTGAAGAACAAAATAAATGTGGTCAATGGTACAAAGGAACAGGCTAGTGTAAGTAGGTTAGAGCTTTTTCTATGCTTGTACATTTATGCAAGGTCAATTCAAATATATTTTTGGCTTTTGGGTTGTGTTGACAATGAAACACAGTATAAAGCCACACTTTGTGTTGATTTAAAACGATTTCAGATATCTTAATTTTGGATATAAAAGAGGGAGATATTTTGCTGTTGTGGCAGTACATTTAAAAACAGGACAGCCAAGCAAATAATTGTTTGTTTGTTGTCCCTCCTACACACTCTATTATCTCAAACACAGTCCACAGCACACCTACACACTCTCAATCTCCCATCCGCAGATACCCTAATGTAAACAACCCCATTATGTAACACATCTGTGGGATTTAAGTGATGATTATGGCCTCTGAATATAATCACATAATTGTTTTCATCCTCTCATTTATAATGATCCTCATGATCCTATGGTTGAATCCCCAAATTAACACTGAAACAAAAGAAATCACTGAATGTGGGACCTCTCCCTGAGTTACTTTCATTTCTCGTTAACAGCTCTACAACTGCATTTTTGTTTTAGAGTGTGCACTCCTGCTTAGTCAGTCGCTGAACTTTTGTGCAGTTTTGCTTTACATGACACCGCCTTTTAAGTGACCTCAAGTTATGAAAGTACCGACTTACAAAAAAAGAGACTATTTAAGGTCTGCCTGAGCACCAAAATGCCAGATGTCACTTTGAGTTGCTTTGTTTCTCAAGAAGAAAGATGTTTGAGCTCACCCGCTGCAGGTGGAGGTTCAGTGTCTGCTCTCAGGTCAGGTGTTATTATGTAAGTTGTGCAACAGTTGTTCATTTCTTCAGTTAAAGAACCTTCTTTTGTGACCTTTTTGACCAGTTTACTGAAGCAATATGACATCATAAACCAAATGTTCAGTCATATGTCGCCTGAGTTTAATATTTGTGTCTGGATTTTTCTCCATTCTTACATATTACTGTCCATGCATATGACATGCCAATGCATAATGTACAAGTATTGTGATGTCATCTGTTATTTTAATGAAAGTTATAGTCATATCTAACTAAGTGTAGCATTATCACCAGTATACTAAATACTAAAATAATACTACAGGCTCTTCAATTAAAACTAATCCTAAGTATGAGAACCGAAATTTTAGCACATTTTCAGAAAGATGTAGTCCCTTAATATATGTTTGTAATTACATTTAATGCATCAACCTCTTCCTGAATGACGTGTCAAAGTTTCTTGAAACTGTGCTTAAAGGTGCACTATGGAGTTTTGGTTGAGAAATTTGAAAGTTGGAGAAGTGTACATATCCTGTGGTTTATGTTCATAACTCTATACAGAAACTGTCCTCAGAGGAAAATGTGGTCCCACGTAACACTGTAGCTTTTTTTTTTTTCGCACCAAACAGTGTTCCAGTGTCCCCAACTTATGCTTTGAATAAAGTTTGTGTATTCAGTTCAGTTCAATATAGCGAATTGTTTCACTTCTCCAACTTTAAATTTCACTACCAAATCTACATAGTGCACCTTTAAAGTCAGGACTTCAGTCATCATGCACAGATAAAAAACGCAAGTTATATTCCTGAGTCCTCAGACTTGACATGGCTGACTTCACCCTCTACACACCTCATTTCTGTATTAGTCATCGTGATAGTAGTCAAAGTGGGGACACATCTCTTTATAACTAAATAGGAGGTTACTTTTGAAAGGAACATGAGAGCAGAGTCAAGTAGATGGGAACATGGAGGGGTGATGTGATGGGTGTCAGAGAGATGATTTGAAGCAGAAGAGCCTCTTAAAGGTTAAACTGTCAGGTCGGGAAGTTTACACCTCACTCTTAACATGCAGACTGGGGCAGGAAGGTGCGTTGAGTGTGAGGGCATGGAGAGTACAACTGTGTGAGCTGATTGCAGGTAATTATGCTGAATGAGTGTGGGAGTAATGGAATTAATAGACTATATGTGAACCAGCTGCAGTCACATTAAGCTATGCTACTGAACTGAACTACAGATCCATTTAACTTTATCTCACTGTATAACGCTCTTCAGGTCACTGTGACTTGTTTTGGTTAAGTAATAATAAATGTCATTTTGGTATTTTTACCTCCTTGCCTTAGGTGTAATAAATAACTTGTTCAAAAATCATTCTTAGCCCATCTTCTCCCACGGCATGATTGAATTACTGATATAATATTGTGGTCAATTTGACCTCATTGTGAAAAATCAGGCTTAATAAGAGATTGCTCCAAAAATCCATTTTGCTTGGTACCGACATTCTTTCTTATAGAGTGGAATCCCAAGGCCTCTTTTCATTTTTTTTGTGTAAGTAACACAGCCAATTACAAAAACCTACAGTATGGCAAAAGACTTTCATTCTTTCCCCCTTTTGCACATTAATAACAAATTTAAAGATAAAATACTCTGAATCATAATGCTCTCCAGGGCTGATAGGTCAAGTATTGTTAAAATGGGATTATTGTTTATTATTTCAAAGTTTATCATAAAGCCTCACATCATCCAAATCCAGTGTATGCGTCAGTCTTAAATGACTGTAAATATTTCCAGCTATGTCTTATAGTGCATCATGGAAGGAATTGTGCTAGCTGCATTTATCGATACATGCGCTTGTACTTACAGTAATACTGAGACTTTGAAATCTATCCTGCAATTAAACCAGTTCAAGTTCTGACTGTGCAAAGCTTTATTATTGGGTTTTTACCTATTTGACTTGGTTTCAATCATCTGTGTCATCAGGCGTGCACAAATAAAGAATATACAATCTGCAGACCTCAGTTTATTTAAAACAGCAATAAAAGCACGGATGACATCAAAGTGAAACTGTTACATAAAGTGTTCATTCTAACAAAACAGGCAACATTATTCCCATGGCATGTTTTTTGGTTCACATTTAAAAAAAATGTTTTGTGGAGTAAACAGCTGAATTAGTCCAAGCTAGCTGCTGTACAAATGATTATGTTAAGCCAGAGACAGCTGTACGATTATGCAGTTAATTATCATTATAAACAACAACTGCAGCTTTTGAGACATAATGCCTTTGATCTACAGAGCAGCGGAGAACGGAAGCACGGAAATCTCTTCAACCTTATTTGGAATACAACAAAATGTTCCTGGTGGGTGATCATTTGAAACTGCAAAGATGTGGTGCCTTATTTACTGATGCATCCATGTAATGCATATTCATTTAGGACTATGCACTGAAACACACCATACAGTGTCTATGGATAGCATCCCATGCACAAGCGATTTGATCATGACCCAAGAGTTACTTCATATTTATCATCCCTTAACACGTGTTCTTGGGATGGGTCATTACTCCCTTTTCATGTGTTGTGTAACTCAAGAAGTAAATATCATTTGTGGAGGAGCTAAGTTTAAACTTCA